TACAGTATAAACATAACCATTATATGCACTGAGGAAAACAAAGAATTTATGTGGCTCACTTAATTGTCGCTTTATTGCCATTGTCTGGACCGGGACCTACAATACCTCTGAGGTATACCTATAGAACAGCGATTTTTAACTTTTTTCATCTCATGGCAGGCGTAAACTAATGATTACAATTCTGCGGCACACCAATATATATATATATTTTTGCCAGTCTGACCAAAAAATAGGTATAATTTTGATTCATTCATACTGGATGCTATTGTTATGTTGGCTGTTGTCTTTTTTTTTTTTTTTACAATCTAAGGGAAAGGAGGTCAGTGCCCCTGACTAAATAGTCAGGTATTTCGTGATTTAAAAGTTCTTGCGGCTCACTGTAGTGTTTAGACTCTGCCTTGAGGACTGTAGAGAGCAGCTGAAGTGTTGAAGCCAGGCAGTGAAGAGAATTACATTTCTGGAAGATAACTGACTGTGCGTAGAGTAGGCGGGAAAGGGGCAAGACTAGAGGCAGTAACAAGAGGTGGCTTTAGCAGTCGGGTGAAGTGGCGGTGGCTGAACTAAGGCCGTGGTAGTAAGGATAGAATGCGGGGAGAAGGCCCTTAGTTTTCTAAGTGCCCATCTCACATTTGGGAGTCGTCATCTAAAAAGCTCCTTCTTTTCTTGCCAGGCTAGATGATTTCTGCTCCGTCGGATTTTCTTTGGGATTAAGTTAGCAACTCATCCTAGTACTTCGTTACGAGCCTTCTCTCGGGTCTCACCAGCTTTCCCTCCTCCTCTTAGAGGAGCCCAGAGCTAGTTGCAGTGCTCTGAGAGCGGGAGATCCAGTGTTTGNCCTCACCAGCTTTCCCTCCTCTTAGAGGAGCCCAGAGCTAGTTGCAGTGCTCTGAGAGCGGGAGATCCAGTGTTTGCCAAGGAGATGCCATACAAACTACTTAGGGAAAAAGGGAACTAGTGGACATGGCAAATTCTACTGCCAAACACGCCCCGGCCCCTGTGGCTCCGCGGTTGGTTGGGCACTGTCCCCTGCATGAAAGGTTGCAGTTTCGATGCCTGTCAGGGCTGGATCCCTGGTTGGGGGCGTGCGGGAGGCAACCAAGAGATGTTTCGCTCTCACGTTAATGTTTCATTCTGTCTCCTTCCCTCCCCCTTCCTCTCTCTCTAAAAATCTATTAAAAAATATTTAAAAAATTTTTCTACTGCCAAATAAAACCCAAAACCTGAACTTCAGCTTATGCCTCTTTATGCTTTGAAAAATATCACTTTTAATTTGGTAGATTAATAAAAGAGGAGAGAATGCCAGCTGTATAGGCCGTAGACCTGGAATCTGTGGTATTATGTTCATGACTAAGGATGTGTAATAATTAATTGTATTAGTTGTTTCATAAACTCTTAATACTTTAAAAAAATTTTATTTTATTTTATATTATATATGTAAACAATAGTTTGTTAATTTTTTGGTTTTATGTTATATGTATGTATATAAAATAAACTATAAACTATTTATATATATATTGTTTATATATAAACTATAAACTATTGTTTACACACACACACACTAGTTTGTTCATCTTTTGGTTTTATTTAATTTTTGTTTTTAATAGCCCTAAAGTCAGTGGCGTAAGTTAGCCTCTGGTTTGTGAAACTGAGGAATGTTTCAGGGTTCTCGTTCCATAAGCACTTTATCAATGTCTTCTTAAAATACATGCACACATGGAAGAGATGTTATGAAGCGATGGGGGCATTTCTAGGATTGACAGTACAGGTCCTAGGGTATCCAATTGAGCATGTTTCATATTGTTCTATATTGTCCCTTTTAAATTTCTTTACATATATTACATTATGACATATTTTGCATCCTTAAAGGCAGGGATATATTCTGTTGCTTTGAAATTCTTTTTATGTCGTTCATTAGTCTTTGTGCAAAGCCTTTATTACCTGGGAAAACCCATTAGCTAGAAAACATTCATGTATTTTAATTGTTGTTTTATGGTAATACATCTCTTTATTTGTTTTTGATCAAGAATATATAATACTATGCCCTGGCTAGTGTGACTCAGTTGGTTGAGTGTTGTCCTGTGCACCAAAAGGTTGCCAGTTTGATTCCAGTCAGGGCACGTACCCAGATTGTGGGTTCAATCCCCAGTTGGGGCCTGTGCTGGAGGCAATGGATCAGTGTTTCTCACATCAGTGTTTCTCTCTCTTTCCCTCTCCCTCTCTTAAAACAAAAAATCCATAAGAACATATTTTTAAAAAATGAATATATAATACTAGATGTTAAAATATATAATACTAAATGTTAGCATAGAGTTATTAACCTGGTAAATTGTGTATAATTATATATTTTATAACAAAATAATAAATATATACAGTTATTAACCTAATGAAAATATTTAGCACATATATAGCCATTTTAAGAGTCTCTAGAAATTTAGAACAAGCTACTTCTTATTGTAAATGATCTATATATGTAAGTCAGACAAAGAAAGATATAATGATGTAGAATTTTGAACATTAGGAATTAATAACTTGAAATATATACAGATTTTGGAGTATTAGGGTATAACAGGGTTATACACGCATGGGCAGCAACTTTTTGGTTTTCTTTGGTACCCAAATGTTAAAATCAGGTCCATAAACTTAATTTTTTTCATTTTAGTGCTAAGCATTTCCCTGTATTTGTTTTTCACAATACTGTTACTGACACCAAAGTAATGCATGTGTATCAAAAAGAAAAAAGTACAAGGAATAAAGTAAAAATCACCCATAATCACAGAACCCAAGATAACCACTATTAATGTTTCAGTAAATTTTTTTACTCTTTTATCCATGCATCTATGTACATCTCTTTTGTAATCCTGAGGTCATACAATAGCATTATTTCATAATCTTTTCATTTCATAAAACGCCATCAACATTCTTTCCATCATTGAACATTTTTTTACAACATGATTTTTTTCCAGTTTTATTGAGATATAATTGACCTACAGTGTTGTGTTAGTTTTAAGTATACAAAGTAATACTTTGATATATGTTTATATTCTAAAATGATTACCACAGTAAGTTTAGTTTTGTGTTTTTAGGTCTTATGTTCAATTTTTTAATCCATTTTGAATTTTTGTGTGTGTATGGTGTAAGATAGGGGTCCAGTTTCACTCTTTTTCATGTGGCTGTCCAGTTTCCCCAGCATCATTTACTAAAGACACTATTGTTTTACCACTGTGTATTCTTAATTTTTTAATTAATTGACCATATATGTATGGGTTTATTTCTGAACTTTCTGTTGTGTTCCACTGATCTAAGTGTTTTTATGCAAATAACCTCCTGCTGTGATAACTATTGCTTTGTAATATAGTTTAAGATCAGGAAGTGCGATATCTCCACCATGTTCTTCTTTCTGATGTTATTGCTTTGGGATTTTTGTGGTTCTATACAAATTTTAAGAGTGTTTGTTTTATTTCTGTGAAAAATGCTGTTGGAATTATGATGGGGACTGCACTGAATCAGTAGATTGCTTTGGATAGTATGGATATTTTAGCAGTATTAATTCTTCCAATTCATGAGCATGGAATATCTATTTATTTGTGTCTTATTAATGTTTTATGATTTTCAGTGTATAGATCTTTCACCTCACTGGTTAAATTTATTCCTAGGTATTTTATTCTTTTTGATGAAATTGTAAATAGAATTGTTTTCTTAATTTCTCTTTCTGATAGTTCATTATTAGTGTATAGAAATACAACTGATTTTTGTATATTGATTTTGTATCCTGCAACTTTATTGAATTAGTTTATTCTAAAACTTTTTGGTAGTGGCTCTAGGGTTTTCTAAATATAATATGTCATCTGCAAAAAGAGACAGTTTTATTTCTTCTTTTCCGATTTTGATGCCTTTTATTTCTTTTTCTTGCCTAATTGCTCTGGCTAGGATTTCCAGTACTATGTTGAATAACAGTGGCAAGAGTGGGCATCCTTGTCTTGTTCCTGATCTTAGAGGAAAAGCTTTCAGCTTTTCACCGTTGAGTGTGATGTTAGCTGTGGGCTTGTCATATGTGGCCTTTGTTATGTTGAGGTACGTTCCCTCTGTACCCACTTTGTTGAGAGTTTCTATCCATTTTCTTAAAATTTTCCTAAATGGAGAAGGTACTTGGAATGTTGTACTCTGTTGTTGGGCAATGAGGATATTTATTTACTCTATCCTTAATGCCTTGTAACAGGCAAATAACACGTGGTAAATTATTTAAAAACTATAATGGTATCTTCAATTCATATATAAAAAGCACAAGTGAGTTTAATTTATGAATAGAGCCCTTTGCCACGGCTTGTAAGTATTTTAATGCATGATTTTAAGTAAAAGCTATTCTATGAGAAATATAGTACTTAAGTTATTTAGAAGAATATATTAAGTGGAGCCAGAACTGATGATTTATTGTTTAAAAAGTTATCTAGTACTGTATGACAAAGGTAGCTTATGGGAGAAGTAATTTTAAAAATATTTTCATGCACAGTTTACAAAATTAAATTAAAAAAGAAAAACATATTGTCTGATAATTTCTTAACTCACCACTTACCTGGAAAATTTTAGCTCTTTATTTACATTCCTTACAAATTTATTCTAACAACTTCTTTAAAACTTTTTATTACAGAACATTTGTAAGAATATTATAAAGAACTCCTGAATCTCTTCATCCAGAGTTACCAATTATTAACATTTTTCCACATTTGCTTTCTTACTCCTTCCCTCTCTGTATATTCATATATGTAGTATTTTTTCCCTGAATTATTTGAGATTTGTTGCAAACATCAAACTGCTTTACTCCCGAAGTACCCGAGTGTTTAACAGTGTTTTTGTCACTCAGATTACCCTCAGATATGAAGCTTTTAGGCTTTTTGGGTAGCTTGATTTTTTTTCACTTTTAAAAGCTTTGTTGAGGTGTAATTTACATACCGTACCATTTATTTTAGATTGCATTTTTGTTCCTTCCTCCCTCTCACTGGCAGTTGCTGGTACAGTGCTACACCTGGCTGAGCGAATGGTTTCTTTTGGAGCTGATAAAGCTGCCTTATGAAATCAGCTGACAGGTATATTATACCTACAGATGATGCTTTTCCCCGAAGAGTTTGGGTTGAGATTGACCCACTCAGCAATTGCGGACAGATACCCTAAGCAACAAGCTATATTTTTGTCCAGTGCTGTGACTATAACTATAAAAATTTATTTGAACTCTTAAATACTCAAGTCGTCATTTTACAATAAATAGTATTAGCAAGATCCTAGACCTAAAAGTAATTTTTCTAAATTTTTGGTCATGAAGAAAGAAAGTTATCTTTAGAGTTAAAAAGAATTCAGGCCCTTTAGGTTTCATACTTCATTCTGGATTTGCATGAGAGTTGTTTGAAATGGCTGATTTCCATTTTTGCTTGGACTTGGGACCATTTGCTCTTTTTTTAATAATACATTGCTTGGGGCTCAGTGTATTTTTACTGATTTAATAGTTGTTTCTAAACTATTAGAGAGCCAGGTTTTACAGGATGTAACTCCTACTTACACATTTCTCTCTTTTCCCTCCAGGGACGAACTGTAAAAGCAACATCAGCTTGACCAGTATATAATATTACAATGGATTGCTCATCTCAGTCCTCAAAGCTTTTGAAAACCAACAGCATCACAGCTTTTTTTGGACTTGGTTACACTCTTTTCTTAGCATGAAAATGTGTGGTTTTGTAGGGTTTTTAATTCTTCAGAGGCACAAAAGCCAATTGGTAGAGGAAGGATGCAAAGTATACATGTGTTCTTTCTTTAACATGCCCACATTTTACTCTAAAATATTTAACAAAGGGGTTCTGCAAAATGGGAAACTTAGTTTGTGAATTGATTTGGAAGAGTGGTTTTTCTTTTCTTAGACAATTAATTCTGTTCCAGTGTTAATTTTTCAGGTTGCTTTTGTGTGTCAGATAACACCACCATTCACAAGTTAAAATTCTTGATTTTTGGATGTCTGTTAAATGCTACTGAGAAAATAGAGATGAGCTTCCTTTTTAAAGCTTTTGATGTGGTGTCATAGAATAGCATGTTGTAGATACAATCAGCTGCTTTGTTACCTTAAAACTAAGCAATTGTAAATATTAAAATTTAAGAAGGTGGAAAGTGATGTCCCTTAACACTCAGCAGTTCAGATTGGACATAACTGACCTAGTTCTTCCTTTCTCTCTTTAAAAATTATAGACTTATAGCTTAGTATTATTTCTTCTGTTTCTAATTTGCTGCTGATAATGTATATGAATTTAACATGCTGTGTAAGCTGTGTCCTGGTTACTGAACAGTTTATGCAGTGCTGCTTTGCCAAATAAAGTTAAAAGTAAAAGAGGCATTGGTGGTGTTTGAATGTAGAAGAAAGAACAGCATGTCCACCAGATACAGAATGCTAAGATCATAGGGGAAAAAATCGATCCTCTGGTGCTCTGTCTTGTGAGATGTGAGTCGGTTAATGGTATTAATTCAACTTTCCATTTGTAGAATGAATGTGACTATGTTTCTTGAGGATAAGAACTACACTGTACTTAATATTTTTCTTTGCCTAACCCAGGGCTGTCCTCTTTTTATTCCACTTTTTTTTCTTTTTTTAAGAATAGTTTACCAAATTTTAGAAAGAAAGAGAGAGAAACCTCGATGTGAGAGCAAAATATCAATTGGCTGCCTCCTCAGTGTGAGAGCATGATATCGATCAGCTGCCTCCTGCACGCCCTACCTGGGATCGAGCTGCAACCTGGGCATGTGTCCCTGACCAGGAATCAAACTAGCAACTCCCAGGTGCACGAGATGATGACCAACCAACTGAGCCACACCGGCCAGCGCGAGTGTGTCTTCTTGTAGATACACAGTAAATGCAGAAAGAGTGAGAGAATGAATTGAAACCCATCCCTCACCTATAAAGGCTTTATTAATATAATGACTATAAGTCAGTTTCTAAGAATCAGTAGCACTTTGGAATCTTGTTAAATGTTGTGGTTTTATACCTTTTATAGTGGGATCTTAGTTTTTTCTCAGGGTTCTAGAACTTGAAGCAATATGAGCTCTAGAGCTAGCAGATAGCACTCCCAGCAAAGCCCTTCCATCTGCTGTGCCTCAGTGCATGTGACTCTGGCAGGCAGGCGCTCAGTGAGGGTGCCAGGCACCTCTCCCCCACCTCTTAACGTCCTACACATTTCTGCTTTAAAAATGGCTTTAAAAATTATGCATATGTCTTAGACACAGGAAACTAGCATTAGTTGGTGGCCAAAACTTGTGGGTTCATCGCTGGCTCCACTTTGCCACTGTTGGTATTGCTTCTGGACCTAGGCCATGAACCCTCATTGGACTCAGTATCATTTGAGTTAGTTTCAGAGGTTGTGTTCTCTAGGACTTAAATAATTTTTAAATGTATCCACTAGTCTGTATCCTTCATAGCCATTACCAGCATATGCAAATCCTGATGTTAGGTCTAGGGGTAGAAAAAGGCCCTTACTCTCCACAGGACCAGCCACCAGGGACTGAAAGGAGGTGTTGGTTAGTGTGAGGCGAGTGCTGGAGCACATCACAGATACCGAAAAGTCAGTGGTGACAGGTGAAAAACCTCTGTCACTTCCAACGGAGGAGAACATATTGGATACTCGGATGACTCAAAACATTAAAATGCGTGTGGAGAGAGACACAAGATGGCGCGTAGGTAACAGCTGTACCCGCCGCCTCCCGCAACCACATCAAAATTACAACTAAAACACAGAACCACCATCACTCAGAGCCTCCTGAGATCCGGCTGCACAGAAGCCCCACAACCAGGGAACCGAAGCAGCACCGAGACCGGGAGGAGGGGCAGAGACGTGGGTGGATTGGGGCTGAATCTCGGAGACGCGGCCACAGGCCCACACCCGGTGCCACAGGGTAAACCCAGGAGGACATCTCGGCAGCGGAGGTTTCCTAGAGGAGTGAGGGGTCCCAGCCCCACATCAAGCTTCCAGCCCAGGGCTCCAGGGCTGGGAAGAGAAGTCCCCACAGCTTCAAGCTGTGAAAAACAG